CCACTTTATTTATTTATTTATTTATTTTTATTTTTTAAAAATATATTTTATTGATTTTTTTTACAGAGAGGAAGAGAGAGGGATAGAGAGGTAGAAACATTAATGAGAGAGAAACATCCATCAGCTGCCTTGGGGATGTGCCCGCAACCAGGGTACATGCCCTTGATCAGAATCGAACCCGGGACCTTTCAGTCCGCAGGCCGATGCTCTATCTGGAGCCAAAGCGGTTTCAACCGGGGTCCACTTTAAAAGGTAATAATGGCATACGTATTAATCAGGAACACATCGAGTTTATAAACGTATTTGTGCTTTATAGTAATAAGCTTAAAATATATAAAATAAAAGTTCGAAACAACTAAACAAGAAGCCGGTAAAACTATGTCTTATGACATTTTCAACCACAATAGAAAACAAGCTATAAAGAAAAATTTCCCCGTTCGCCACAATGGGCTCTCCATTTGCAAGCTTACGCCGCTAGCTCCTCCATCTTGTTCGTAGGCCATTTGTCCACCGAGCGCCAATGGGTGTGCTTGTTGTTTTTAGAATCTCAATACTTGGTACCTCGCGCTTCATTCCCCCCACCCCCCCAACCGCCAATATGTTACTGTTATGTAAACTGTAACATATTGCCAACTCACGTGTCTCTCGGATCCAATCATTTGCCTGGAATCAGACATCTAGAACTTTCTTGGAAGCTCTCGAGGTCTTAAGTGGGGAGAACTTCCGAGACTCCGCCTTTTGGCTCCTGGCTGCCCAGGAGAGGTGAGCTCTCGAGCTCCGGAGTCGTCCATCGAGGCCTAGAGGGTAAGGCCCCCCCAGAGGCAGGGAGTTGGTGAGGACTCCTCAGCTGAAACTGGGGGTGGGCCCCTGGAAAAGGCGGTCAGGGAGAAGGGCTAACACGTCGGGGTACAGGAGCTGGAGCCAGGAGCCGGCCGTAGGGCGGGCTACCGACTGAGGGGGGTCCACAGGGTGGGTGCCGCTGGCTTCAGGGCGGGTAGGTGGCGGCTCTCTGGTGTGGGAAGGCGGTGAGTTGGAGGACGGGGTGTGGAAGGAAAGCTTCCCCAATGTTGGGGTGGGGGGAATGACCGTGCTTTGAGGACTATGGAGTGGAGCGACGGTTGGGGGTCGGCCGTTGGGGTCTCTACCGAAGAAGGGCTGCTGGCTGCGGACAGGTGGGTGTGGGGCAGGCACGTGGCTCCCGGTGCCCCGACGTGAGGTGAAGAGAGAACCAAGGTGGGGCAATGTGGGGGGGAAAAAACCTTGCGAGTGGGGGTGAAGAGAGGGCTAGTAGCCAAGGTGGGACAATGGGGTGGAACTTTGCGAGTGGGGAGCTTCCACGGTGCGTGTGAGAAGGGCGGAAGGGAGAACAATGGCCGCCATGTGGTAAGACCTGCTCCTGCCCTCGGTGTAGAGAGCTGCCGGGCGGGCGGGCTTCCAGCCCCATCGCATGTAGATGGGAAGCGGGGTGGGGGAGGGGGCGCTCCAGGCTTCAGCGTGGCGAGGTGGGGAGTCGGGGAGGGAGGGGCTCCCTGGTGAGGGGAGGCTAGACGGGACCACGTGTCCTAGCAGGTGTAGGCCCGGATGTCGTGAACGCACATGGCGCACTGCTTCTGGGACCGCAGGAGAGGACCACTGGCTGCCGGTGTGGAGAATATGGGGGGCACGGGGACCAATGTGAGGGCTCCCGGTCGTGAGGAGGCCAGAGGGGAAGGCTAACGTCTAAGAAAGTGGGGGCACTCTGCTGCTGAAGGCGAGCGCCATCACGGGGCTCCGGGCGGGGCGGGGCACAGCTTAGCTGGGCGGGAGATAGTGGCGCCCCCTACGTCCAGGGAGGGAATAGGCCGCAAGGTAGAGCCACTGGCTGAGGGCGGTAGCGGAGCCGGCTGGCTGGTGGCGAGCAGGTGATGTGCTGTCGGCTGTTGGATATTGAAAATGGAGTCGTGGCAATGGCGGTGGGATGGGGGGAGGGGAGCGGCTCAGAGTGGAGCTGTACTGTTGGAATCTGAAAGACCATGAGGGGGATTGCAGTGTCGAGAGGGACAATGCCTTGGTTTCCATAGAAAATGTAGATGCTTTACAAGGGTGCTTTGTACATTTACCCACATACATGGTACACCGGACCGTAAAAGTGTCCGTAAATTTAAAAAGATTGTGCTTTTACGTAATACATTCTCTTATTTGAAGTTAATTATATTTGAAATGATTTTGAATTTTATTTGGAATTAATTATGATAACACATCTCTAAATATTTGGAAATAAATATTTGGGTCAAAGACAATCATAAAGGAACTTAGAAAATATTTCATGCCTACCCTAGCCGGTTTGGCTCAGTGGATAGAGCGGGGGGTCCTGCAGACTGAAGGGTCCCATGTTCGATTTTTGCCAAGGGACATGGTCCGGGCTCGTGCAGGAGGCAACCAATCAATGTGTTCCCCTCACATCTATATTGCTGTCTTCCTCTCTTTCTTCCAGTCTTTCTAAAAATAAATGAAAAATGTTCTTGGGTGAGGATTAAAAAAAAAATATTTCATGCCCAGGCAGAGAATTAATTTATATGCATATATGGTAATCCATGGACACACACAGTACTGGGGTGAAAGCCTGAGGTGGAGCAGGATCAGGTTGAGGGGGGCAATGGAGGAAAATGGGGGATATCTGTCATACCATCAATAAGAAAGACAAATAAATTTTAAAAATACTCAATGAATGCAACAGAGAAGTCAGAAACAGAAGGGAGAACAAAAATATGTGAGACAAATAGTAAGATGGTAAATTAAAACCAATCAGCAACTGCATTAAATGTAAAAAGGTTAAATGATCCAGTTAAAAGACAGATTAATAGATTTAATAAAACCCCATAAGAAAAAAAAACCCTATTTTGTGCATCTTTTTGATGATTAGTGACATTGAGCATTTTTTCATATGTTTATGGCCTTCTGTATGTCCACTATGGAAACATATCTATTCAGATCCTTTGCCCATTTTTTAATTGGACTGTTTGTCTTCCTGGTGTTGAGTGAGTTGTATGAATTCTTTATATATTTTGGAAATTAACCACTTATCAGATATATCATTGCTGAATATGTTGTCCCATAAATGGATTCCCTTTTCATTTGGTTGGTGGCTTATTTGGCAGTGCAGAAGCTTTTTATTAATAGTTTGATGTAGTAGTCCCATTTGTTATTTTTTCCTTTGTTTCTCTTGTCCTAGGAGATGTATTGCTGAAAAAACTGCTATATGAGATTTTGCTGCCTATGTTCTAGGATTTTTATGGTTTTACCCATTTTTAAAAATTTTATTGTTCAAGGTACAAATAGTAGTACATGTCTCTTTTTTCCCTCCACTGACTTCCCCCTGGCCTCCCCTACCCCCACCCTCCCTCCGCCGACCCCCTCTCCCCCCCAGCCCTAGCCCTCTTCCCCTCGCCACAGTGTTTTGAGTGTTGGTTCTGCTTATATGCATGCATACTAGTCCTTCGGTTGATCTCTTAACGCCCCCCCCCCCCTTCCTCCCCTAACTTCCTGCTGTAGTTTAACAGTGTTTTTGATGCTTCTTGGTTTTATCCATTTTGAATATATTATTTTTAAATTATTTGTTTAATTTTTTATTAAGGTTTTGCATATGTGTCCTTATCCTCCAATTAGATTTTTGAATATATTCTTGCGTATGGTGTAAGTTGGTGGTCTAATTTCATTTTTTTTTTTTGCATGTGCTTGTCCAATTTTCCCAGCACCATTTATTTATTTTATTTTTTAAATTTTAATTTATTGATTGATTAAGGTGTTACATATGTGTCCTTATTCCCCCATTACCCCCCAAGCCTCCCACTTATGCCCTTTCCCCCCTGTTATCTGTGTCCATTGGTTAGGCTTATATGCATGTATACAAGTCCTTTGGTTGCTTTCTCCCCCTTCCCCCCACCCTCCCCCCCTACCTTCCCTCTGAGGTTTGATGGTCTGATCAATGTTTCTCTGTCTCTGGACTCTTTTTATTCATCAGTTTATGTTGTTTATTATATTACATAAATGAGTGAGATCATGTGATATTTATCTTTCTCTGGCTGGTTTATTTCACTTAGCATAATGCTGTCCAGTTCCATCCATGCTGTTGCAAATGGTAGGAATTCATTCTTTTTTAGCGCAGCATAGTATTTCATTGTCCAGCACCATTTATTGAAGAGACTTTCTTGCTTCCTTTGTCAAATATTAACTTTCCATATTGGCATGGGTTGATTTCTGGGTCCTCTGTTCTGTTCCATTCATCTATATACTTGTTCTTGTGCCAGTAGTAGGCTGTTTTGATTATAATGGTTTTGCTCTAGGATTTTTATGGTTTTATCCATTTTTAAAAAATTTTATTAAGGTATTACAAAGAGTAGTACATATGCTTCTTTTCCCCCCACTGACCTCCCCTAGTTGATATCCAGTATTGTTATCCTTTCAGATTTGTTGTTCTTTTTCATTGTTGCTGAGGCTATTTGGGTTTTGGAGTATTTGTTCTAGATCTGCGAAATATTCTGCTGGTATTTTAATAGGGACTGTGTTGAATCTATAAATTGCTTTGGGTAGCGTGCACAGTTTAATGATGTTAATTCTTTCAACCCATGAGCACGATATATGCTTTCTCTTGTTTGTGTCTACTGTCCTTTAGCTGAGATCCACGTCCTCTGGCATTCATCTCCAGCTCGCTCTGTGAAGAGCCTCTGAGCTCCGCTACAGTCAGCCAGCCCACCCCACTGCTCAGTTTCATTTCTGGGGTACGACGAGGATTGTATCTTGTAAGTTCGTTGATTTTAAAAAAATGTTCCTTAAAATCTACAATAGAACAGGGGAGGGGAGGTGCTCTAGGCCTCTGCTGGGCGGGGCACAGGGCAGTGGGGTGGGCTGTGTAGCACAAACATGATTCTCTTCCCTTTGACCCGGGACAAAGACCCATTGCCACATCCTGCAGACTTTTGATCAGTCACTTTTCCCCACCCTTCAGATCCTCAATGCTGTCGATGGCGCTGACCATCCTGCGGGACTGGTGTGGCCTGATGGCCGTGAACGCACAGCGTTCTCTGCTCATCCTGGGCATCCCAGAAGACTGTGAGGAGGAGGAATTCCAGGAGGCGGTGGGGGCTGCACTGAGCCCCCTGGGCAGGTACCGAGTGCTGGGCAAGATCTTCAGAAGGGAGCTCCGGTCTAGAGTGGCCTTGGTTGAGTTCACTGAGTATTTAAACAGAAGTTTGATCCCCCGACAAATACCAGGCAGGGGGGGACCCTGGACTGTGGTCTTCCTGCCACAGGTTCCTGACGCTGACTCACAGGATAGACCAGATTTCCCTGCACAGCCCCCGAGGCCAGCAGTGGCGGGCAGGGCAGATGGGGCAAGAGCTGCAGTTGAGGAAGGAGATGCAGGCGAGGAAGGAGCTGCTGGTGAGGGAGAAACTGCAGGCGAGGAAGGAGCTGGAGGTGATAAAGAAATTGCAGGCGAGGAAGGAGCTGCAGGTGATAAAGAAATTGCAGGCGAGGAAGGAGCTGCAGGTGAGGATGTAGCTGTAGGTGAGGATATACCTGCAGGTGAGGATGTAGCTTCAGGTGAGGATATGGCTGTATATGAGGATGCAGCTGTAGGTGAGGATATACTTGCAGGTGACGACATGGATGCACGTGAGGATATACCTGCAGGTGAGGATGTGGCTATAGATGAGGATATACCTGCAGGTGAGCATGTAGTTTCATGTGCGGAAATGGCTGCACGAGAGGATGTAGCTGCAGGGGAGGCTAGACATGCAGGTCATGATATAGCTGTAGGTGAGGATATAGCTATCGGTGAGCTAGGAGCTGAAGATGAAGGGGCAGAATCAGATGAAGAAGGAGCTTCAGGTGACACAGGAATTGCAGGCATGGCAGGATCTGTGAGTATGGCAGGAGCCGCAGGTGAGGCAGGATCTTCAGATGAGGAAGCTGTAGGCATGGCAGGAGCCCCAGGACAGGCAGGAGCCTGGAATGAGCAATGGAGGCAGGCCCTGCAGCCTCTGCTGGAAAATATGGCCTACCAGGAACTGAGATCCTTTTCTGGCATGGAAGAGCCAGGCCACGAGCAGGAGTCCTTCGAGAACTGGCTGGATCACGCCAACGACATGCTGTACCTGTGGCGCCACATATCAGAAAGGGAGCGGCGGCGGCGGCTGGTGGAGAGCCTGCAAGGGCCCGCGCTGGATCTCGTGAGTAGACTCATAGATGAAAATCCAGACATTGCCGTGCAGGACTGCCTGGCCACACTGATTCAGGTGTTCGGAAACAAGGACACTCGAACAACCGCGAGACTGAGATTCATGACTTGTGCCCAGCGGCCCCAGGAAACTCTCTTTGCCTACGTGATGCGCCTGGAAGGCCTGCTGCAGGCAGCCATGGAGAAGGGGGCTATCCAACCCTCCACCGCAGACCAGGTGCGTGCCAGGCAGGTGTTGATGCGGGCCCGTCCCAACGAGACTCTCTGGAACAAGCTGAGAAGAATGCGCCTGGAAAGGAGACCACCTGGCTTCCTGGGGATGCTCCGGCTCATTCGGGAGTCAGAGGCATGGGAGGCCACTCCGACTACTAGCCAGCAGCAGTTTCCGGTGGAAGAAGGGTCCTGGATAGACATTGGAGATTTGCCTGCTTCCGAGGCCCCTCTAGCCTGTGAAGAGGCTCAAGCCGCTCGAGCCTGTGAAGAAGCCCATGCTGCTCTAGCCCTGGGAGGTGCCCATGTCTGTCCAGTCTATAGAGGTGCCCCGGCCGCTGAAGCCTGTGAAGATGACCAGTACTTTCTAGCCTGTGAAGAGGCCGAGGCCGCTCTTGCCCGTGAACGTGCCCAGGTCGCTCTAGCCTGTGAATTTGCCCAGGCCGCTCTAGCCCATGAAGATGCCCAGGCCTCTCTAGCCTGTGAAGGTGCCCAGGCGCCTCTAGCCGGTGAATATGTCCATGCTTGTCTAGCTTGTGAACTTGCCCACGCCGCTGTAATCCGTGAACGTGCCCAGGCGTCTCTGGCCCATGAAGATGACCAGGACTCTGTAGCTTTTGAAGATGTTAGCCAGGCTTCTGCAGATGCCTCCCTGGCTGACATTCCCGAGGAAGATGCAGAGGCCATTGAGGCGGGTCCTGCCACTGCCGATCCTGATGAGGCTGCTCCTGAAACCGGTGATGACACCGGGGCAGACCCTGCCCCTGAGGCCTCCCCTGCCGTTCAGGGAGATGAGAATGCTCTGGCTCCTGCAGGTCTGGGTCAGGCAGGGCCCTCCCTTGCCCACATGGGCATTGCTTTGGGGGTGGGCTCAGGCGGTCCTGGCTGTGACCCAGAGGGCCTGCTCCAGGAAGAAGATGAGGAGGCTGAGAAGCCTCGCCAGGAGGGGCTCATGCCCATCCCAGAGGAGTCAGGAAGTGAGGACGGGTCTGGGGAGATGAGTTCCCCCGAGCCCTCCTTCGAGTAAGCGTGGAGGGCCCGGTGGCCTCCTGTTCTCTGGGGCAGCAGAGCCCTGGAGGCAGGGGAAGGCCACCTCACCCCTCATGGGGAGCAAGGCCCAGGGAAGGGTCTGCCTTGCCCCCTGGCCCCCCCACTACTCCCAAGGGGCCCTGACCACCACCATCAGCCCTTCCAAGTCACCAAGATGACCATTTGTGATACCAAAGAGACGGGGAGAGGTGCCCCCGCATATTATTACCACATCCAGCCCCAAACCCTGCCCACTTGGACACCTCTGGGCAGCCATCCCAGTCCAAGTAAGGGGCACTGAATATGTCTGACACCTGCACTGGACTGGGAAATGTTAGGGGCCATTAAAAGGGTGCTAGCCTCTGGTACCCTCATCTACCATCCCCCAGGCAGCCCTCACCCTGTTTCTCTGTAGGCCCTATAGTGACCCCCCAACACACACACCAGTCATGGTGCCTGTGCAAAACCACCAGGTGTGTGTCAACCCAGGTGGGTGTCCTGGCCTACCCCCCGGGGCAGCCACCTCTCAGCCCCGGCACGTGCTGTGAGCCCCACTGCCAGCCAAGGCTCTGCCAGCTCTCGTCCAGTGTCGTGAGCTCAGCCTCTGCTTTCTCGGTGTAGATTTAAGCCAACCGCTGCTTGTGCTTGTGGAAATGTGTGTGTTCTCTGAGCAGTTTTCTCCCTCCCCACCGCCAACATCACCCACCTCGGAGACCCTGTGCCCAGGCCCAGGAGAAGGCGGGAAGGATCGGCGAAGGTGCAGCCAGTGCTCACCCAGTGACCCCTGGAAGAAGCGAACCAGGGAGTGAAGGTGGCTGCTGGAGGCTCCATGGACACTGCGCTCTGATTCTTTGTGACTCAGTTTCCTCAGCATGGTGGAGTGTCCCTTGCTGTGTTTTGCAGTGTCCTGTGTCTGTCCTGTGCTGGTCATAGGGCAGAGCTAGGCCCCAGCATGTCATGCAGAGGAGGGAGGGAGCCCTGCAGTGAGTGGACAACACCAGCGTCCATTATCCTGCAAAGACCGATCCATCGTGGGGCCCTCAGAGAGGGAGACTGTGGTGGGAGGGCCGTGTGTGGGAGAAGCTGAGGCACCTCATCTGGGACACCAGGAGGAGGGCGTGTGAACTATGTACTCTAGTGGCTGTTCGAAGTTCCCCTTTGTTGTCATCCTCTTTATTCAATGGTTTCAACAAATATTTCTTTTTTTCAATAAATGTTACTCAAACTTTCATCTGAGTTTTGCTGAGGTCAGTGAGGGAAGGGTCTGCTGGGGGTGGGCTTGGTGGCCAGGAAAGAATTCCTGCTGAGCACCCTTGGGAAACCCAGGGAGAGGGGAGGGTGGGTACTTAGACTGTCAGCCTGGGACAGTGGTCGGCAAACTCGTTAGTCAACAGTACAACGATTGAAATTTCTTTTTTGAGTGGCAAATTTTTTAAACTTAGACTTCTAACGCCACTTCTTCAGAATAGACTCACCCAGGCAGTGGTATTTTGTGGAAGAGCCACACTCAAGGGGCCAAAGAGCCACATGTGGCTCAAGAGCCGCAGTTAGCCGACCACAGGACTAGGGTGAATAAGGTTTTGGGTTTCCACCCACTCGTCCTTGTCTTGAGATGGTCCTGACCCCTTCGTCTGTTGAAAATTGGTACGGGAGGGAAGGAGCCACTGGCCTCGAGTGCCTGGGATTCAGGGCTGCTAAGTGTGTGTGATGTGTGAGATAGGGCCACGGAATGAAGAACTCATTCCCTATAGCATACTTGCTGAGAAACCAGGATTAGACTGCTAAGACTTTTGTAAACGCCCCAAGTGCATTTTAATTTGTACTATCCTAAAATGTGAAAATATCACCATGGAACAAAAATGATGGCACTTACTGAGCAACTCAGAAACTCTAGACACCTTTGGGGTTTCTGGGAGAGGGGGAACTACCTTATCCATAGCACTTCCACCTGCAAAAAGACTTGCTCTGCCTGGCTGGTGTGGCTCAGTGGTTGAGCATTGACCTATGAACCAGGAGGTCACAGGTTCAATTCCTGGTCAGGGCACATGTGGATTGTGGGTTTGATCCCCAGTGGGGGACATGCAGGAGGCAGTTGATTAATGATTCTCATTTTAAAAAATATATTTTATTGATTTTTTTACAGAGAGGAAGCTAGAAACATTGATGAGAGAGAAACATCGACCAGCTGCCTCCTGCACACCCCCCACCAGGGATGTGCCTACAACCAATGTACATGCCCTTGACCGGAATCGGACCTGGGACCTTTCAGTCTGCAGACCGATGCTTTATGCACTGAGCCAAAAATGGTTTCAGCACTCTCATCATTGATGCTTCTATCTCTCCCTTCCTGAGAAATATATATATATATATATATATATATATATATATATATATATATGTAATTTTTTTTAAAAGAATTGCTCCCAAGGACAAGAAAAGACTAGGTTAGTGAGCTGCATAGTGGAGGGTACTCAGGAAGGGCTGCTTTCTGAAGGGGCAACATTCAGGGGAGGGAGGTCAGGGTTCATGTTAAAGGCAGTGGGAAGCTGCTGGAACATTTAGGCGTGCCCAGTGGACACTCCTTCCTTCTGGCTCCAGAAGTTGCCACTTTATGAGGTTGAGCCCCACCTCCCATGAGAGGAGCAGAAAAGGCTGGGTCTGTGTTCTCCCATCTTTTCTTGTAGCTAGGACGTGGGCACGTGACCAGGTACGTCAATCAAATGCACTTGCTGCCCACTGGATCTGGGCCCAGAGATAGGAAGAGGCAGGACCTCCCAGGTTCCACTGGGTGGTGACTGACAGCAGGGGCAGTGAGGCTTGTTACCTGGGCAGCAGTGATAGCCACGGTTCTCCTGGCAGCACCCGAGTCCCACATTGGTGATGCAAAGCACAGTGTCTGTGTGTGTGCCAGTCAGGGGAGGGAGCCTGCCCAGCATTTTGCCATGATGCAGACCCTGTTCTCTAAGCCTGGCTCTCCAGCCTCCTTGAACACCCACGAGCCACCCGCCATCCTTCAGCTGATTTCTCTCTGAGCTTTGAGCAGCCACAGTGAGATGTGATGGCTAAAGACCAGGGCAGTACAAGAGCCCAGTAACACCTGCCAAAAGAAAACTCCCAAAAGAACACATTCATACACATAAGTTCCCCCCCCACGCCCATACACATAAGCCACACACACACATATACATAAGCCCCCCACACACCCATATACATAAGCCACACACACACACACACATGAATACACATAAACCCCCCCACACCATACACATAAGCCTGGGATTCGGGAATGCCATGCCTAGTGCCTGCAGGGCAGGTCTGAGGGAAAGCAGGTCCCAGGGATGTCAGGTGTGGGGCCCTTGGGGGACAGGGTCAGGGTGGGTAGGACTTTGCCTGTTTTCTCTTGGGACTGGGTTGGAGGGGTAGCTCATCTGGTGGAGAGCGGGGAGCTCCCACTCTGGGGTGAGCAGCAGGGTACACCCTCTGCCTGAGAAGCCCTCCCAAGCACAGATAAAGTTGGTCCCTCCCTGCAGACTCCTGTGGGCTGGGTGCTCCCGGTCAGAGGGAGAGAGGAACCTGTTAGAGGGCAGGGGAGGCCCTGGGATAGAGGGAGGGTGGGTCAGGACAAAGCTTCAGTGTGTGTGTGTGCATGTGTGTGTGTGTGCATGTGTGTGTGTGTGTGTAGCTTATGTGTATGCCTAAGTGTGTGTGTGTGGCTTATGTGTATGGGTGTGTGTGTGTGTGTGGCTTATGTGTGTGTGTGTGTGTGTGTGTATATGTGTGGCTTGTATGTGTGGCTTATGTGTATGCATGTGTGTGTGTCTTAACGTGTATGGGTGTGTGTAGCTTATGTGTATGCCTAAGTGTGTGTGTATGTGTCTTATGTGTATGGATGTGTGTGTGTGTAGGTTTATGTGTATGCCTAAGTGTGTGTGTGTGTCTTATGTGTATGTGTGTGTGTGTGTGTGGGGGCTTATGTGTATGCATGTGTGTGTATGTGTGGCTTGTGTGTGTGTGTGTGTGTGTGTGTGTGTAGGGAGCTTATGTGTATGCATATGTGTGTATGTGTGGCTTGTGTGTGTGTGGGGGGTTATGTGTATGGCTGTGTGTGTGTGGCTTATGCGTATGTGTGTGTGTGTGTGTGTGTGTGTGTGTGTGTGGCTTATGTGTATGGCTGTGTGTGTGTGGCGTGTGTGTGTGTGTGTGTGTGTGTGTGTAGCTTATGTGTATGCCTAAGTGTGTGTATGTGGCTTATGTGTATGCATGTGTGTGTGTGTGGCTTATGTGTATGCCTAAGTGTGTGTGTGTGTAGGGAGCTTATGTGTATGCATATGTGTGTGGCTTATGAGTATGTGTGTGGGGGGACTTATATGTATGCATGTGTGCGTGTGTGGCTTGTGTGTGTGTGTGGCTTATGTATATGTGTGAATGTGTATGTTAGAGAAGAAGTTGGGCAAGGT